TAGTTTTTGAAATAAAAATTTTCTAACGTTAAATATATCACTCGGTATATTATTTATTTATGAGAATGAAACTTCATTATAAAGCACCGTCTATAGATGATTATAAGTAATGCAAGAAAAAGTGAAAAAATATATAAAATTCAATATTGGCATCCCAACCGTGCACGCCGTGAATACGATAATACCATAATAATAATAATACAATGAAATTATCAAATACATAATATAGTGTTGATTAATTATTATTACAATTTATTGTATTAGTGTATTTGTTTATTTTGTTAGATAAGACATTAATATCTTTTTTGTATTTAGTGTTAATAATCATTTTTTTTTTTTTTTTTGATAGATACTATTTTTACAAAGATCGTTATTAAATCCACGAATTTATTAATAATATGATCTTATAATTTACACGCAAAATAATTAAGTTAAGTTTAAAAAATTATCAAAATACATATGCTATATGTGTAATTTTATTATAATATATTATGAGTATATATTATGGAATACAATATTATTTATTATTGATTATTATTACTGAACTGTATACGATAAAGGCAAATGCAAAGTTTGCAACTAAATGTGGAGGTAGTTGCATTTATTTCAAGAACAAGTTTGAAGAACTCTAGTCAGGTCAGTTCTAAGTGGGTTGAATTACTTTTAAATCTAAAAAAGTTTATCTGATAGCTTCATTAAAGAGATCAATAATAATTAATGCAACAAATACATTTTGCTTAATTTTATTATTATTAATATTATTAGAACAAAATAAATAATTTTTAGTTTCTTTAAAATGAATGATAATAACTATTATGCACTGTTTAGTATTTATTTACAAATATTTCTTATGGTTTTTTACGTTTCATATAATGTATTCGTCTTTTATCAACTAATAGAAATATTTTCAGAATATTCAACCTTTAAGAATCTCTTAAATTTCTTAGATAGAAGGAAGCAGCCGTTTTCTTGCGAGAGTAGGAAAACCAAATAATATTAGTAACTAACGTGATCACGAGTAGGTAATTAATATAATAAATATAGTTAGATGGATGGATCAATTATTATTAATAGCTTAATGTATTTATTTATTTTTTTTTGATACTGTGTAAACAAAACGGTTTTGTTTGTTTTATTAGTACCGGGAGTTTCCCGAGTGTACTCCGAAATGACGTTTTATTAATGTTACGAGTGTGTTCCAAATAAGGTATTACCTGAGTGTGTCCCAGTTTATTTAGAGTTATCCAGGGTGTACCATGAGAAGTTGAACTGGTTTACACCACAAATATATTTATGATGCTAATTTATAATTATATATTTTATTTTAGTTTGCACCTTTGAATTAGGACAAGTGTACTAATTATTTTTAAAAGTTTTTTTTATTTAAGACAAATTTTATTATTTGTTTTTATAAATCATTTTATAAAAGTTGAAATTCAATTTTCCCATCGTTTCCAGTGTTCCAAAACCACAGCTTTAAAAATAAAGTATAATAATTTATAGTTGTATATTTGAACCAACACATTCGATCATTGTCAAATCACTGAAACTTGTATCTTGAAAGGTTTATTTGATAATTTTATATTAAATAGGACACATAGCTGTGAACTGAGGACGTGCTCGGGCTATCAATATAATTTGTCTATACGATTGCGGACGCACTCGGGCTATGAAAAAGGTAAAAATTAAAAACGGAACGCATTCGGGATATCGCCTTACTTGTAATTAAGGGCTAAGAATTTTTTTTATTAATAGTATTATACTATTTCTGGAAAAAAATATACTATGAGTTTTATAAATCGTCAAAAATCATTTTAATAGTAAAAATAATATCGTTGCCATTTTCTATTAAAATTATCATAATTAATATGTGTATTCTGTGTGGTTACTTTTTAAGTGGTTTCTGTGTGGAGTCTTATCTTGAGAAAACCAAATTTTTCATAGAATTGCATACAACATCCATTTGTTTTTCTCGTGGCTAATATATTATATAATATCTACAGACGTGATTTTTCTTATAATTTGATGAGTAGAAAATGTTTGCCTCTATATGAAAAAATGTAGTAGCTATAAAATTAATGATATTAGTAGTATAATAGGCAATGGATATGATTCGTATTTTTAACAATAGCTCTAAAATGAAAATTGGTTTAATATTGTTTTGGTTTTATAAAGAATGAAGAAAAATTATAAACTTTCAACTGATAATTATTAATAACTTGATTTACTTTTCGTCTAAAACTATTTTAATTCGACCAAGTTAATTATCTTTTCTAATCAACCACGCTGCACTTAAACATAAAATTCTATATAAAAAAAAACTTAAAAACCAAAAAACCAAAATTTAAACTTGAATATCATACTTAAAAATTAAAATACTAATTATAAAAAATTAAATTTTTTCGAGCTTAATTATTTATATTATTATTTTCTCGTATAAAATGTTTTAAGTGACTTAAATATAAACAACGTAATTGAGACTTCAATCTAGATTTATAAAAAAATGACGATCGGTATATTATGTTAATATTGACAGCTGATTGCACACATATTATTTATAGCTCTACTTTTTTCCAAACATAATGTTTTAAGTTATTTTCAATATTATCTCTGTATTTACATATAGATATTACTTACATTATGTTATCGAGTAAAATGTTATTGTTTTTAGATATTTTATATGTTTTTTTTTTATTATTTTAGAATTTTGAATTATCAAGTTCAAATTTAAAAACGTGTTTGAAATATTTAGTTTTAATATTTGTTTACATTAATTGCTGTATTCGTGGTTTTAAATTTAAATAATTCAATACTATACATTTTTTTGTTTCCTGATAAGTAAATATTATATATAAATAAACGTGCAAAATAATCTTTTTGAAAAATTCGTGTACTAACTAAAAAGTAGATGAGCTTTTTTGATAACCGAGTCAATACTATAAATATTTTTTTTCCATATTGACTTTAAAGTATTGGCGTGTTTATTTAACTCAATTGAACTTGAATTAATCACAATCATTAACTTGTCTTACAAGAATATTATATATTTGTGACTTAAATACACCCATGCGTGCCAAAACTGTTATATAAGCCATTGATATATGACCTGTAGAATGGCAGCTATAGATTTTTAGTATTTTTTGTATAATAATTAAATGATTACCTATAAATGTATACATATATAGCGATTTTTAACGATTGTGCTACTTCAGAACCAGTTATAAACCTAATGGAATAGAATAATATTATGTAAAAATTAAAACTATTACGAACAATTATTCGAATATTATACAAGGTTAAGTTATAGTATGCGTCTCATATAATTTCAATATATTTTACTGGCCTTTTTTTTATTTGTTTGCTTTTGTTACCGTTTATATGTAGGTCATCTCATTGAAATCAGTGGAAAGGCGAGGATATTGTTGTATAATACATATATTGATATGCGAGTATCTAGGTACAACAAGTAATAATTTATACCTATATTTCAATACGGTAAGTATTAAAGCTTTAAATAAGGTAAGTATATGTTTAAACATGCTAATCTCAGAAACTACTTGACAATTTTAATGAAGATTATATCAATAGATTCCTATTAATATTCGGGGGATGTTTTTTATTTTGTTTTTTTTTTTTTTAAATTCCTTAGGTGTTACTCACACATCAATTTTGTTTTGGTTCACGAAAAATTAATATACATAGAGTTGTCATTAGTTATAGAACCAAATTAAAAAAAAAAAAAAACCCGGTATACAATCACCCCGCAGCGATTTGGTTCAACGACGATGATAACGACCTAGCTAAAGGTATTGCAATTACAGTGATGTTTCATAACAATAAATTAATTTAAAAATATATATACGGTGTGATTATTTACGGCATATTCATTCCTTTTTTGTTTTCAATAATGCAATTATTCTAAATAATATACTTTTTTGATTTAATAAATATATTTAGAGACCATTTTTTAAATAATTGAAACTTTTTTTTTTCTATACTTAAGTTCTGTGGAGTTCAAAATTTGTGTTTTTAAATGAAAATCCCCTTTTACTACTGTGAATTGTCTAGTAGATTTTTTTTTAATGTTGATGTACCTAATTAAAATTTTGAATGAGTTTATCAGTATCAAAACATAGTTTTAAGTAAGTTTAAAGATTTCAAAAATTAGAATTTGAATAAATTCATTAATTAATGAAAAACAAATGGGGTAAACAAACCCTGTGAAATACGCGTAGATAATCCATTGCTATGAGATTTTTTTAAATAAAAGATAATAATATTACATTTATTGATTGTTGTTCAAATGTACAACAAAAGGAAATCTTCTTATATGTTTGTTTTTTATAAGCTCACACAAAAACTACTCGATGAACTTTGATGAAAGTTTTAAAGATTGTTCTTAGAGATATTAAAAATATATATGCATTTGTTTGAACTAAGTTTTAAAATATTCTAAGTGCAATCAACTATAGGCGGATTACCCATATCAGTCAAATTAGTCCACAAGCGAGGTATACCGATATTATAGCGCCGTGTTTTATACTAATTATTAATTTTTCCAATGATTTCTCTAAACACATTCATTCATTTCTAGATAAATTTTGTGGTTGTGCAATTTTTAAAAATAATATAGATTTTACAATAAAAATTTTTTTTATGAACATTAATATTTGAGTATTAAAAAATTTGAATTTTTTGTGTTTTAAAGAATTTTGTTAACAGTTAAAAGTTAAAAAGATAATCAAAACAATTAGTATATATATATATCTTCGAACATTATAAACAATAGGTGTATGAATTTATTTATTTTGTTTTTCAAAATGTTATTAGTTTTTCTTTTTTGTCTTCTTCTTTAACATGGAATGCGATAACCAATCGAAACGGGATTTGATTTTCGAGTCACGCGTCTGTCCCCACCGGTTTTGATCTTTGTCCGGGTAGGGTAGAGCCAGCGGAGTGACCGGAAGGTCTACGGTTACCCAAATACTCGTGTGCTACCGACGATCATTGTAATCGTACGGCGGACACGCGACCGAACGACCCGATATTAACAATTATTACAATTCACTGCTCGTGTCCGTTTTTCACTTGATTAAAGTTTGTGTGTTCGGTTTGCGGTGAATAATATCGTAGAATCGGACATCGGCGTTGGCGTACAACCTACCCGTACATACGACACACCGTCGGAGTATACAGTCACCGTTCGGAAATTGTTTCGGTAAGTAAAACTTTATAGGTACATAATAATAAAAAGTGCAGAATAATGTCGATTAAACATTATTCGTGTAACCAACGTGATTATCATATCTAATTATTATTATAATACTTACCTATGTGAGAAATGATTTTGCAAATTCACTTCGCACCTATAATATGTATTTTTATTATAATCGATCACAGACAAGTTGTTGACGAGACTTTAATACGATCGCCAAACGCTTCCGGTTAGTTTAATACAATTTTTATACTATCATAAATCATACCTATAAAAAAAGTACATCAAAACCTCCGGTGTATGTTTAATAATTATATTATTATATCAGTATTATCATCACAATTAATACTAATATTTTTTTTTTATAATAATTTTATTTAGTTAAATATAAATATGCTGTAGCCTGTGAGGAAGTTCAAAAATTCTAATTTGATGGAAATTTTATTTGCCAAAACAAAAGCTTGAGAAAAAATGTCTTATTTTCACCATTATAATTATGAATTATGAATATATCTAGTTATTTTATTTATGCATGGTATACAGAAACCAATTTCTGATAATAACTCAGGTTGTTCAGAATATTATAAGTTAACATAATATCTGCTAATTTGTGTTCTATACTTTGTGAGTTTAAGTTCAAAAAGTTTTCAGCAAAATTAACAGTATATCTAGTGATATGTTTATTAGATATATAAGCAATTCTTTTTAAAATTTTATAATAGATATTATTAAGAAGATTTAAGCATTTTGAATAATTTTAAGACCAGGTGAATGAACCGAATACTAGATTAGATTTAATTAACATATATAATGATTTCAAACAAATAGTAGTCTTTAAATTTTTTCATATTTTCATCGATAAAACCTAGCTTTTTTATGATATGCTTATAACCATTTTATGGTTTGGCATTTGATTATATACTGCTATTATCTTTGTATAAACGCTCTCATAGTTTTAGGAGGAAAAACAATTTTATATGATACGTCTAATGATTCTTTAAAAATTTTATAATAACCGTATAGTCGAGAGTATATTATGCTATTATATATTTTTATTATGTGATAGTAATTATAGTTCCAATTCACTACGGTGAAATATTGTGTAAACGCGCGACAGACTGATCAGATTTAGTGAGCTCTTTAGTTGAAAATTGCAATTTGAATTAAGCAGGTGGTGTAATTAGTTGGTATACGTGTAGTGGATTTTCTTTTTAGATTTTAAAACGGTAAACAATGATTGATCAAAATTTTTTAATCGCGTGTAACGTGACAAAAAATAAAAAAATAAAATAATTAATTTCTATCGCATTATTTAAACAAAATAATAATAATGCCTGTTTTATTGTTGTATATTTTTTTAAGTTTTTTTTTCTGAACAAGCGTTCAATTTTCAGTGTTTTTTTTTTTACTCTAAACCGTTGAATATAATCCAATCTGTTGTGTATAAAAAATTAAGGTTCTCAAATTTCATAAACAGGTCATAATTTATTGTGATAATGTATGACTTTCGATATAATATATGTATGTCTTTTATACGTGTTCTGTAATTAAATACTTAATTACTGTTTTACTTACGGCCAGCAAAAGACATTATATGCAGCCACTTTAATAATATATTTAGTATAATTCTTTAATTTTTAACGTTGACTTGGTCAGTGACCTGCAGTGTTGTTGATATTATAGAAAGTGAACGCGCGCATCGCTCGAATCCTACGTAACCATTATTGTATGTGTCCTTCGAGATCTACGATACTGAGGATTTCACGTGGGATTTTGTAATTACCGAAACGAGAATTTATAATATTATGATCAGATTTTCGCGCAATATCAAAACGTTTACGTATATTACAGTATCTCTTAAAATAATTATAACAATTATAACAAAATTGTCCGATAAAAAATATCTATGCAATCACACAATTTCTATGTGGATTATCTGTGTCTATTTAAATGAGTGAATTGCGGTTATGAACGGTCACCAAGCGTTTAAATTTGAAAAAAAATAGAATCTAAAAACCATTATTATAATTTAAATGTAAAATCACTACACAAAACTTAAAATTTAAGTGCATATTATCATACTGTATATTGGCACAAGCTGCACTAAAAAAAAAAAAAAAAAACACTTAATATAATAATAGATCATATTTCATAAGCAAACCTTGAAAATCATTAAGCTAGATATATAAGCAAAGAGGTAGGTTGACAGGTATTTGATATTTTGGTAGGCATTTTTTTAAATATATAATACATAGATATAATTATAGAAACCGTAGATATATAAATTAAAATATGTATATATCGACGAAAATCTAGCTTTTTTTTTAAATATAAAAATAAATAATTTCGTAACATTAAATAATAGGTACTCACCTAATATGTATAGCTTGTCTAGAGATATTATAAAATTCGTTTTTGTATTGGTTGACCATGGTCTATTAATTTATTACCGGTTTGAATTGTGTGATAAAATTATTAATAAATAATTTTTGTCTAGATTTTTATTTTTATTCCTTTATTTCAATAGGTGTGTACTGTAAGACGAGTTTTAGATAACAAAACTGGATACTATGAAATTTTATGAATAAATAATATATTGTTTATAGATAGAATTATGTATAATAGTGCTAAATAAATAAATTACATGTTATTCTAAATATAGATTACTTTAATAGTATAAATATTATAAAGATTGAAATGTATTAATTTCATATACCCTTAGTGTGCACCACAAATGAATACCATGTCATAATATCGAGCAGTAATAGATATTCAAGTCTATAGTAGCGGATCCAGAAATTACTCAAGAGGAAGGGAGTAAATTAAAAAAATTAAATTACCTTTTTTTTTAATCTGTATTGGAGGCTAATTATTTGTATTATTTCACTTATATAACTAAATAAATCTAAAATTAATAAACAATAAATAAATAAATAATAATAAGTAAAATTTATTTTACTATTTATTAATCTACAAAATTATAAACAATATATTACTATCACAATTTTATTATACAATCAATACAATTATCTATAAAATTAAATTATAGTTTAAATTATTGAAAGCAATTGTTTTTTAGTTGAATAAATATCAATAGAGCATTAATTTAAAGCTTGTATCATCATGCAAGCTGATATACCATTGTCTAAAAAGTAAGTCACTATAAGTATTTAAGATATTTACAAGATTAATGTTTAACTTAATATACTCAATAGCATTAAAAATAATAAAAAAGGTTAGGTTTAAGGCGATAAATGATAACAACGTCCATGCCGTTCGAGAAGTAGCGTTTCTGTATTATAATTTATAACGTATAGTCAGGAAGAATAATATTAATGCTTTTTGTGTGATTAGTAGCGGTATTATAAAAATAAAAATATCGGCTTTCAACCAAATATTATAATATAAAAATAACGTAATAAACACGCCCAAGAACGATAGGGCAATTGCTCTTTCTTTATATTCACCTCAGCTAGAATAATAATAATAATCTTCAAAAACTGGAAATTAAGAATATTATAAACCATAATAGGAATCGAGTACAAGCTGCCCGTTGAATTTCCAACCTGTATATTTTGCTATGCAAAATTTTTTGGGCTTTTTCGTCATTTGAGTTTAAAAAATTTAAAATAATTATAATTAATAAGGGCTATATGCATACTAGCATATTGAGAAAAATATTTTGTTTAACCTAAATAAATAATAATACATAAATATATAAATCTATGATTATTATTAAAAATGACATTGAAATATTTCAATATTTACCTGAAGCAGGTAAATAATATGATAATTTTAATTTAGTTTTTAATTTCATGAGGTATAATTATTACATATCTGACAACAATTTCGTAGTTAATATTTAAAATTCTATATAAGTCGAATTTGGTATAACATTATTGTAATTTAGTGCACGCATTCCACTTGAATATTTTAATCATATCAAAGTTAATTATGGGGATGGTAGGTACAATAATAAATTCAAAGTCTAGTTCAAGTAATAGTAAGTCATTACGTATTTATTATTAACAATGCAAATAATATAACACCAATGGCAATTTTTGTATTTAAATTCGATATCTAAATATATTTTAATAAACTATATTATTCAGTTGTAATAAATTTATGAATAGAAAAGAAGACAATATAATATGTAAATTTATGAATATCCGGGCTTTATACTATTTACGGATGACCTATATCTTCAATGAACTATTAGAGTATTGTACTTTTTTAGTGAAACAAAATTAATTATTTTAATTTTTTGTTTAAAAATAAAAATAAATTGATGTTGTTTAATTAAATTTCCATGTGTACTTTAGATAGGCATGCAGAAAAGAATTCTAGGTACGCCGCTGAATTTTATTTATCCATCGTTTAATGATTGTTGATAAAACTTTTTTTCGAACAAACTCATATCTATCTATGAACAAATTTAATTTTGTTTCGTGTATTCACTTTTTTTTGATTTATTTCATCTTTGCCAGTCTTACTTTTGTTCGCGCCAAATGATAATAAAATGACGGGTAGATATTAATAGTTATTAGTTTGGATACATAAGTTTCAAATTTAAAACAGTGTTGATGTGTGTGTGTGTAAGAGCATAGCATAAATAATAATATAGTATTAAGGCACTTAATCGCGATACAGGCTATCAACAATAATAAACAACTACTAACGGACAAATTTGTCTGATAAAATTATAATAATTTTTAATCTAATCCGATACGATAGACTACGTACGTAGGTAGATCATATTTTAGCGATTCGAAGCTGTGCTTGATATTTTTAAAAGTTCTATTAAATAAGGGTTTCAGCTCATCCTGATGTCGATCGTGTTTTCCATCGTTATATATTTTACAATCGACATAAACGCATATAGTACAATACGTTTTATTGTCCGTTTTAATTTTTCTAACCATTCTTTCCATAGTAAAGCATTTAATATGCTCCAGTAATTTCTTCCTCTATTGGATTTTAATTTTATTTGGGCATTTTTCTCG